TGGATAAGCTCGGAAAAACCGAAAGAATTTATACATTAAATGCTTAGAATATTTCTAATGATTCATCATTGCATTATTCACCAAATTACATTCTTCAAAATTATCTCCCATACGTTTCTTTGTTATCTTTGTCTAACGAAAATACACATCTTTACAGTTACCTTTGTATCTAAATGAATACCCCTTTTTTAACGTTTTATGTAAACCACTCCTACTTCTTTATGCACATAACCCTTTTGTAAAAAGATTTTCCTGGACTAGTGCTCTTCCATAGTATTCTTACTTACAACAGCTTTTGACTTAGGGTCAAGCGATTTTCTACTCGTTATTCTTCAATAATCCTGCTGATCAACTCTGTATTATATCAATAAAGCAGTAAATTTTACTCTGTGTCCTCACAACGTATATTCGACGTCTTCACAAGGTAAGCCTTTAATTAAAGTTCTGCTTGATCTTAACTCAAGGCTAAACCTTCTAAATCTAAACGACTCGATAAAAGGAAAGAATAATTTTTTCACAACAGGATATGGATAAAAAGGCATCAGTCATGCTGGGCAGTCTAAAGTCGAACATTACTCGTGCCGAATGAAACGAAGCTATAGTTCCTCAAGTGTTTTGCTTTGCTTCCGCTGAGATCAATAGTGCCCGAAGTAAATTCTGCCCAAATTGCGGTCTTATCCCTTCATCAGCATATATTGGATCCAACTGTAGATGCACTGACAATGAGTCCGTCACGACTCGCTTGTAATCTGAATACGTCAGTTAGCGTCTCTGCTAATAACTTTTTTCAAGCAACTTCAAATAGCTCAACAACAACTACCACATCTCAATTATTAACAGTATGCAACACCTTATCACATCACTATATATAACAATATTTCATCCATAGGGATGAATGGGCCGTTCCCGGAGGTAGGTGCAATACCGGGTCGACCCGCGGTAGGTGAGGAGCAAGCCCCTTCAAACCCACCATGGTCTCAAAAATAGAATAATCTCGAAGTGGTCGATAGACCACATATCAGAGATTAAGCTGATAAGAACAGATACTACACTTTGATCTTAGCCAATAGGCCGAGAAGCGATACATGAATGACCACACTGCTGGATAATATTCTACACTGTAGCGAACTTTAGATGGGTTTTAAAACTTCATTTAAATAGCACTCTCTTTTTCTCTTTCGATGCATCACTTGCAGTAGTAATATTAGGAGTAAAGGGTCTAATTGCAGTGAATCATACAGTCAAAACGCAAAAAGAGAAGAGAGAGAGAGAGAGAAGGAAGGAAGAGAAAGGCATTATGGGAGGTGTTAATAAATGAACGAAGAGGAGAAAGGGTCAACTAAATGACAAGGATTTAATAAGATTTAAAGTAAGTAACTTTATGAAAGGTCAAATCCACTAAACTAAAAGAAACCATAGGCCAATATATACTTACGGATTCTCTTATGTGAAAAATATTAATGTATGTATCAGACCTATAATGGAACTTCATCCCATTCAATCGTATCACAACAACTGAGGGTACTTTTTCTCTGCTCGTCTATCTCATCCATTGAACCACTACAGAATCCTTGCAGGATTGTCTATAATAGTAACTGTGAGGAAGAGAGGAGTTATCTTGCTCTCCTGCATTTGACCGTGAAAATCTTTCGCCTTTTACTAAAGATTTCCGTGCAGGAGAGCATTCATGATTGTAAAAGTACTTTTTGGAAGCCCTACAATGGGCAATTGAATCCTAATTGTCGCACTTTGCGTTTTTACGTTAATTCCAATTCATTAATTCACTTCACGTCAGTTCCAATGAATTCATTTTAATTTTTATAACCTTCATAAGCATTGCTTCTTCAACAGTGGATTTGAACGCATTGTCGACCTCAAATTTTCACCATTCCGATTATTTATATTTGATAACCTTAGCGACTCTTATTATTTTACCGAGTGCAAAATTTTCGTGCCCTTTGACTCATTTCATTTTTCTTAGTATATTTTTCTTTTTTTTTTACAGCAACAGAAATTCACCAACCAGTCATTGTAGTACTACATTTCATTCTGTAATAAACTGCAAAAATTGTTATTGCTTTTCGTAATATATATATATAATATATATATGTATACACACACACACACACACACACACGTACGCACACACACACACACACACACACACACTCACTTGCTCACTTAAGCACATTCAAATCTCGTGTCTAGTTAATTATTCAAGTTTAAATTTTGTGAAATTGTCCAATTCGGCGGATGATGTGTGTGTAATGTTGCGAAAGTTTTGGGAGATGATGTAGTATTTTTGAATCATGCTTTGAAACTTGGAAGTTGTTGGCTAGCGCTGATGTATCTTTGAAATCTTTTCGGTCTGTCAGATTTTTTAACTTTGGAAATCTGCTCTTTTTGCTGAAAGTTGTTCAATTTCATCTCTCTGTCTTTCTATACGTTCTGGACCATTTCCTTTTATTACCTTTCTAGCGTTACTTGGATTGTATTGTTTCAAAAGCAGTTGAATTGTATGTGTATGAGCACATTTATTGATTTGTATATTTGCTTATTCACTTCAAATTACTCTTGCATACTCTTTCAAGGAATCCCTCCATTACACCGCGAAAGAAAGAGGGTTGCTGAACAAAATTCATTGCAACATTGAATCAAACAGTTAATCTCGAGTTTTTATTTTACAATAAATCTTGGACAGGAAGAGGCAAAGCTGTTACAAAAAATGATCAGATTCCAAGTAATATAGGTGAAGCTACTTCTTGTTTGCAAAACATTACAAAGAAGTTTACAGTGATTAATGTTATTAATGCTGTGATTACCAATGAAGACGTCATGGATCGATATTTGGGATTGATCAACAGATTCATTGATTGATAAGTTAGTTTTGGATGGTATCAGTTGATGAAATGTGCGTTTATTTGTATTTTTTTCCTTGTTATTGTAAGCAAAAATTACGATTTCTCATGGAATCGTTAGAACTTTCATTTGTTATATTTCAACATTAAAGAAATCCACTAATGCATATTTTTGCCAAACAGTCTGTGATGTAAGATATTACTGTGTAACACATATGTACCATGGATTTTTACCAATGTTTTATGTCAACCTCAGGTATCGGCTTAATCAAAACCTATCAGGCTGCATTATCCAGATGTTTTGTATAACTTTTAAATTTATTGAAGATTAGATTTGGATTATCTATTAAAATACCTCAGACTAATAATTTAACATAACTTCCCTAAAATTACCAATCATATCGCTAAAAGTTTGTTTTCTGACTTGGATTGACTGACAAGTGGAAGCATTCGATTGATCAGTGATGGCGAGAATCTACAAGTGAATTTAATGGTATGCTTTGGTGTTACATCATAGAATTCTATAACGAGTTTGACTTTTGAGTTATTTCGGCATGTAAGTGCGCTACTTTCGAAAGGTATAATGCATTAATAGTGAACGATTGAATATAACGGTAATCCTGGCGTATCATCTGTTAAATATTGTCCTTACCTTGCATAATGATGACAAATATGTTGAACTGGTAGTAACAGTATAAGCACCGAGGTATTTCTTCTTTCTATTGATCAAAATCAATAATAATAAAGGTATTGATGGCCAATTTATAGCTAGGGCTTTTCCAGGTTCGAGGCCAACTTGAGAAGCGTCTTCGAAGTAATAATCATTCATCATCACTCATTATTATGGAGAAGTATGAGGCATATTTTTAATTTCTCACATGCAAATCTGAGGTGATAATCTACATTTTATTGGTCTGTAAAAAAAAAGACATAGATTTTTCACCCTTTTTTTTACAGATCACCAAAATATAGGTTATTACCTCAGATTTACATGTTTTCCAAATATCGAATCAGATTGAATTGATGTTGTAAATAAGATAGAAACTGATATATTCGAGTCGGTGAAATATTACGAGTTGACATTACTAGTAAGGTGAATTATAATGAAATGTTTTTAGAAGTGCTTGCACACTATTGTAAGTAATTAATTTAATATATAAGTGCTTATATATTAAATTAATGTACTTACAATAGTGTGACTTTTACTGCTAAGCATATTTAGCATTGATTGATTCAGTTGGAATTCACACAGTTTAGTACACTGCTGAAGGTACAACGAAAGTAAGAGACAATAATAGATATTTTATCGATACGTTAATTTTTTCTAATTTTAAACAAATGAAATGAGCAAAGCTAAATGATCTATTGATCAAAATCAATAATAATAAAGATACTGATGGTCAAATCAATAATACTAAAGATATTGATGAGCGAATTTATTTCGACCCTTATAACAGATACATTGCTTCTTTAACAGTGGATTTGAATATATTGATGGACCTCAAATTTTGACCATTTCAATTATCAATATTTGATAAACTCAGTGATCCTTATAATTCCACCGTCTGTAAAATTTTTGTGCCCTTTGATTCATTTCATTTTTCTTAGCATCATATTTTCCTGACTTTTTTTTTATAGTAATAGAAATTCACCAATCAGCTATTGTAGTACTATACTTCGTTCTGTAATAA